CCTCGATGAGATGGATCGATTCTGTGATTGGGGTGGTGGGAATAAATATGTTTGAGATGGCGAGGTTGGCACAGGATAGAATGTTGTTTAGGGCTCTTGTAAATAGGGTCGTTTTGAGTCACAGACAATGGCACATAACAACAACAATCTCTGTTTAAGAATGAAAACAAAAATCTCATTAATAAGCTTTAGTAGAAATTGAAGTTTATGTAATACATGATCTGCAAATTGGGATAACATTGACTGTTGTTGATGGGTACATTGCATCTACTCCATACTGTGTACAGCAGAATGAAATCTATCTGATCTGCTTCGTTTTCACAATTTTCCATGGTGCTTAGACCTATCATTGAAATTTTTTTTCACACATATTTTGAGTGCCTTCTAACCTGAAGGCCTCATCTTCCAGTAATTATCAGACAGTAGTCTGTGGCAATTCATAAAGCTATCAGTGGCCCAATATTTCAGAATTTTATGGCTGGTCATCCATGCCTCCTATTCTGTCTTAATGTGTCAACTCTGCTGAAAAGCTATCTGTCATGTGTGACCCTGCGGCTGTTTGAAATACTAGTGGTGTAATTTACAAGTAAAAGTAATATCCAGACTATCAACATTTTGGAAAACTGACAAGTACTGTGGTAAGGAGTAAAAAATTGTTCAAAGAGGAAAGAGCTTTTAACAATTCTTATATCTTCTCTTAATGACATTGTCATGGGTACAATACACAGAGTGTTTTCATAATAACTATATATATAACTATGTCTGATGTTGGAAGTTTTTCTTAAAACTTGCAGCACTTAGTTAATGCTTTAAAAGAGCACAGTGCCTAAAGCAAAACGATCTTTTCTGTAATTAGACTATTGTTTTACTTAAAATGACCTTTAGAATATTAGTTTCTTACAAGAGTTAGGGTGATAGCCTGGACGGATTACCTCAGCCTACACAGTGCTGTTAGATACTGTCTAGTCAGCTCTGACACATAGCTACAGATCAGAAATTTGCTGTATCCTTCACCATCTTCAAGATACCTGGCATACTTAAGCCCACTCTTGCAGCCACTCTGTCAGTCACCTCATTGAGATTGTTCCTTTCTCTTTCTGCCCTTCCATCTTTTCCAGCATGTTATCTTTTTTCCAGTGACTGGCCCCTTCTGCCAACATGCCCAAAGTATGTAAGTTGAAATTTCATCTTCCTTGCCTTTATATTTTGGCAGTTTATTCAGAACTCTTCTCCAGCACCACAAATCAAAGACTTTGCTCCTTCTTTGATCTTATTCGTTTGTTGTCCAATTTCGCACAAAGCAATCTGAATACCATGGCTTGCAGTAAGTTCACTAAATTTAGTGGTTTATTCTTTATCACTTTAAAGAAGTCCTTGCCAGCAGATTCAAGACATCCCAATTCAATACATCTTTTTAACTTCTTGATATCTGAAATCATTCATGGGTGTTGATTGTGGATCCAAGTGAAATGAAATTGTTGACAACTTCAGTCTTTTCAACTTGCATCAAACTCAGAATCTGGATTCCATGAAAGTTATATATATAATAATTAAGACATTTATCCAGAAGTTGACTTTTTGTGTTTAAATAGTTAAATTTCCTTTGAGTTCTTCTGATATCTAGAATACTTTACTGTTTAATACATTGGATACAACTGAGTCATCCTGTAATCTTGTAGAAAATGGCCTCTTTTGCTCAAAGTTTTATATAGTTAAAATCCTTTCATTTTTCTGGGTTTTAGACCATACAGGTATTTTGCTTCCTTCTCCTTTTTGTGTGCTAACATTTTTTCCTGTAAAATGAATTCACTCCTTTTGTATTCATTTCTTTGAACAGGTAGTTTTTCTGCTTTTACGACTGTGCTTCTTTTCCACCTTCTTAGTAGTTTTCCTTCTAATATTCCACTATCCCCACTCATATGTTAAAGAGTCTGTTTCACATCTGTCTCAACTTCATTCACATGTAGAGGGACAGTAGTTTGGTAAACCTTTACTTTCATATTCAGATCTCTCTGGTCTTCAAAAATCTTTACCATTTGCCCTGTTAATTTCTCCTGTTCTATTTAAATCATCTCTTCTTGTTTCTGTTTTCTGTACACATTTGGACAGGAGCCCTGATGGCCCAACAGTTAAGTGCTTGGCTGTGATTCAAGAAGTTAGTAATTCAGACTCATCCAGCAGCTCCCTGGGAGAAAGATCTTACAATATGCTCCTGTGAAGAAAACTATGATGCAGTGTTACTATGAGTCTGAATCAGTCATAGGTGCACAGCAAGAAGCATACATTTTGCTGATTCCTGTTTCTTTGCTTGGCAAAGACTAATATCTCTGTTTAGAATTTCTTTTGTTTGAATTTTCAAATAATTTATTTCTTCTAGGACCTATTTGTTGTCAATTTTTTTAAACTGATCTTTTGTAGTGGCCTGTTGTTGTTGTTCTGTACCATCGAGTTGGAACCCATAGCCGACCCTCTGGCAAGTTTTCAGAGGCAATTAATCGCTCAGGAAGAGGTTGCCCATCCTTCCCCATAGAGCAGCTGGTGGATTTAAACCAGGTGCCTTTGGGATTGCAGCACAGCTTCTTGTCACTAGTCTATGAGAGCTCTCAATTGCATATGTATATAATTATAATTACTAGGTGGTTGTTGTTGTTGTTTATGTGCCATCGAGTCGCCTACGACTCATAGCGACCCTGTGTACAACAGCCCTAAACTCC